TGCTCTCTGCCCGCTGCCACTCTTCACCTGGCTTCTGGCCTCGGGCCCCTGCAGGTTCCCAACTCTAGTCACATCAGCCTCTGCTCCTCAGACCCACCAGATTCTGGCCTGCGACCGCAGCGCCCTGTTCCTGGCTGGATCCTTGTCTTTGTCATCACAGAGATCTCAGCCTAAATGTCACCTCCTCGGGGAGGCCCTCCCTGACCTCACTTGTCTAGAATCCCTCCCAAGTCTCAACCTCATTGTCCTACTGTATTTTTTTCATTGCCTTTATCCCTGCCTGCCGTGTTCTTGCCTGTGTAGAGTTTCATTGTCTTTGCACTGGAGCAGGGTTCCTCACCATCAGCTTTGTTGATATTTGGGAGCGGATCGTTCTTTATTATGCAGGGCTGTCCTGTACACCGTGGGAGGCTCTGCAGCCCCTGTGACCTCTGCATCCCCGGTCCCAGCAGCGCCCCCTTCCGTAGATGCCACAACCAAAAATGTCCTCAGCAGAGGGAGTGGGCCAGATTCCCCTGGAGCTTGGAGACTCACTGCTCCAGGGGCCACGATGATCGACAGCAAACCCTGAGATCTCCTCTTTCAGCTGTGCGCCCCCAGCACCCGGGACAGCCCTGGGCAGGTGACAGCCGGGCTGCACTAACTGGTGCAAGAATCCTTACAGTGAGCTGGCGCCGCGGCTCACTAGGCTAATCCTCCGCCTTGTGGCGCTGGCACACCGGGTTCTAGTCCCGGTCCAATATGTTTTTCTTAACATTAATTTCCATTTAGATTCTTCATTTAAAAATTACTTAGTTTTTAAACTGGTACAAGTACACTATCCAGCATGCTCTTTTGAAATATATCTATGTTTGGAATTCGGGGCGCCGGATTCTGTCCTGGTTGCCCCTCTTCCTGTCCAGCTCTCTACTGTGGCCCAGGAGTGCAGTGGAGGATGGCCCAAGTCCTTGGGCCCTGCACCCCATGGGAGACCAGGAGAAGTACCTGGCTCCTGCTATCGGATCAGCGCGGTGCGCCGGCCGCAGCACGCTGGCCGCGGCGGCCATTGGAGGGTGAACCAACGGCAAAGGAAGACCTTTCTCTCTGTCTCTCTCTCTCACTGTCCACTCTGCCTGTCAAAAAAAAAAAAAAAAAAAAAAGAATCCTTACAGTAAGGGGAAATCAGCCTGCACAGCCGCTGAGATAATCCCTCCCAGCACCCCAGAAATGCGGTGCGTCCCCTGGAACATCGCGGCCAGGTCACGGAAGAACTCTGCAATTCTCCCAGGGCAGGGGTCTCCGTGGGGGAGGCAGGAGGCCGGGGCCAGCCAGCCCGAGTGGGGAGACTGGGAGCATCCTGATGGGGCTGTCAATTTTTAATGCAAAACGGAGAGAAAAGTTTGCAGCCACAACCCGACACGATGCGAAGCAGATAAATCACAGTTACTCGCAGGCGGCTGACAGCAGTTTAAGCCGCTGCAATCATTAGGCGCCAAGGGGAAGGCTTCTTTTATCTTACTAAATGCAAAAAGTAGAAGCTGAAATTGGCAATATCGCGGCCCTCTCAGTGGCCTGGCTTTTTACATAAATATCAGCAAGCAGTAAGTAAATTCTGTTGACGAAATGTAATAAAACAAAGACTGTTTCAAATATGACCATTCCCCAATGCATTCTAAGGCCTCGTCCTACTCACTTATTGCTCGCTGCGGAGATTATAAGGTTTGCTTTTATCTGTCAGAAATCAATATTTCAAACATCGGATAAAAGAGGAAATTGAACTGGGAATAGGCTGAAGTGCTGTAAAAACTACAAAGCACAATTATCAAAAAGCACTTAAAGTGCTTAATAGGACACACATATAAAAATGCTCAAATTAATGTCAGGGAAGGCATAATGAGAACTTTTCCTGGGCCTTTTTCATCCCCACGCAGCGTGATTTGAAGGCTGGTCAGTCCATCAATATGGTTTTCAATTTCTACAATGCCCCGAGGACTCGGGGCGCTGCTCTTGTTAGAAATGAACCATTACATATGATTGGTTAATATTTCAGTTTATTGAAGAGGCATTATTTTGTATGGAGTGTTTAAGTTGTTGAGGTTTAACCGTTACAAACAGTTATGACAAAAATAGATCTTGGGGTAAACAACCTTGTGCTTTTAATCAGCACAGCTACAACCAGGAAATGGGGGTGTCCAGGAGCCGGGATGGAGTGGGAGGGGCGCTCGGCTCTTCGGAGAACCCATAGCACGCACCGGAAGGTGGACAGGCGGGTCTCTGTGTTTGTAAACCAACAATTTGAGGGTTTCTGCTGTTTCCCTCCTGAAAGGGAAGCGGGGCTGTCTCTCTCTACGCTGATGTCTGGTCTGGCTCCTGCGATGTTGCGGCCAGGCCGGGGATCAACACGTTTCTGTGCCAAGAGCCACATGGTGACTATTACCGGCCTGGCCAAGTCAGGCCACGGCAAGATCAAGGCTGCGCCAAGGTGCATGCACAGGTGCTGCTCACACGGAAGCGCCATTCCCACCGCGCCAGCCACGCAGGGACAGGTCGCGACAGCCGTTTGTTTGCGGATCCCGGGCCAGATGGAAACCCGGGCCTCCGGAACTCCCCTGAGAGCCGGCTGCAGCTTCAAGGCAGAGGGGCAGAATCCACAGCCCCTTGACCTGGGACCTGCCCTGCCTGCCACCCGCACGTCCCCTCGGCACACCAGCCTTCTGTTGGCTGCTCCATTCTCTGCGAGACTTGGCTCTCGCTGTACCTCGCGCCTGGAATATTCTCTCCCCTACGGCCCCTAGGGTGGCTGCTCCTTGGAGAGGCCTTCCCTGGCCACCTGCCTGTCCCTCCTGCGCGCTCCGGCCTGTGTGCCTGCTTGCCTTGTGTTTGTTTGTCGGTTCTGTCCTTTCTGATCTATCTTCTCCCTCTTCTAAGGGCAGGCACAGCGTCTGACTGGCTCACTTCTATTTCCAGTCCTGAGGATAAAGCGCTTCTGAGCATGGTTTTCCATTTCTGCTCGACTGTCTCAGGTCCAGTTCTGCCAGGCCCCGTAATGAACGTGGTGAATGAGTGAATGAACGGATGGCACGGAGAGTGACAATTCATTAGCTCTCCTGGGCAGGCAGTCCCAGTTGGCTACAAGAAAAATTGCAGCCCCGAGACTTCCTCTTGTTCCCTTGCCTGGGGTGCACTTTCCCCCAACTCCGTCTCATCCATGAACGTTCAAATCCTTCTCATAGTCTGGCTAAATAGCTCTGCCTCCAGGAAGCCCTCCTTGCTTCTCAGGCTCCTCTTCCCCTCGTCTCCCCCACAGAGTTTAGCACCCGGAGACTCAGTCAGTGCTGGTGGGTGATGGCAGCAGCCTGCAGATCAGAACCTCCGCTCAGATCCATCCCCAAATCACACAGCAGAATCGATCCTGGGCTCAGACCACTCCCAACCCCGTGGTGTCGGCTGCTGGTGTCCCCTAGACCCCACAGTGGTGCTGGAGGGGCTTGTGGAAGATTCTGGAAGGGAGGTTTGGGGGAGTGTGTTTCTGCTGCCAGTTCCATGAACCTGCTCCCCCTTTGTCTGGGTCTCAGGACGGCGGGACCAGGGCTCAGATTCTGTTTTTTCTTTACCTCAAGCACTTGCTGGCTGCTGGCAACCTGCTGGGCACCCGGCAGGAGCTGGGCGGATGGAAGTGCTCCAGGCCAGCCTGGCATCTGTGGGCTGACAGCCGGCTTTGGGGAGCCTGGACCTCCGTCTTGCTACTCCTTCCTGCCAGTCTTCTCCCTCTGGTGGAAACATGGCTGCAGACACCCAGGCCAGCTTCCAGCTGTGTGGTGCTCCCCTCTCCCAGGTCCAAACATCCAGAGGATAGGTATCCCGGTGCCCAGTGGGGGATCCAGCACTTAGTCCTAGGAGTGCAGCCTCCCCATACGCGCTCAGAGGCTGCCCTGCGCACCGTGGAGAGAGTTCCCTTTTGAGCACTGGAGAATCGAAACTCAGAGAAGGTGATGAATTTGTCCAAGGCTATGCAGTGGGAGAGTCAGGATTCGCACTCGATCTGGCTGACCCTGCAGCTGGTGCTGTCTCCACAGCAACGTCATCATGGAGATCGAATGCTGCAAGTCCATGGGAAGGTGGGGGGGACACACAGGCCTTGACATGGGACAGGGGGTCAGCTCCCAAAGTGGGAGGTGCAGCGCCTGGCAGGGGTGCAGAGGAGGGAGGGGTAGCTAAGAGAGCCAGCGAGGCTGTGTCACTGTCGGGAATGGGGAGTGGTTGGCAGGCTGAGAGTGAGTGGGGACAAAGGGAGCCATGGGACCAAGGGGGCTCCCCCTCCTGATGGGAGCCATCCTGCTGCCCTACCCCCAGCCCCACCCCCAGAGAAAGAGCCTGGCCTGATGGCCCCAGGCCTCCAGCACTGTTGGTGCATTGCTATGCCCCATGGGAGGGCAAGAGGAGGCTGCCCAGGGGACCACTGGAGTGTACTTGCCAAGCAGCCTAGTGCCTCTCAAGGAGACGGTGAGGGGAGACAGGAGATGCTGCCGCCGACGAAGCGGGAACAGTACTCTAAGTAGAGGATTTTGTGGTTATATTCATTGGAAATAATCAGGTATTTCCACCTGGAAAGGAAGGAGGTGCAGGAGAAAGTGACCCCAGGGCTGTGCCGCATTGTTCACTGGGAGAAAAGGAGCTGCAAATACAGATTAGCCTCCTCCAGGAGGGGAGGGGAGGGGAGGTGGAAGGCGAGGGAGCAGGAGGTAGCTGGCCCTGGGTCACGGTGCCCTGCAGCCCAGGAGTCTGCAACAGTCCTGGTGCCTGGGGGAAGGGGACTTGGGGCTCTAGGTGGGGCCAGGGGGTCCGGGTGGGATTTGGAGCAGTGTGGTCCAAAAGAACTTTCTGTGGTGCTGTGCTGTCCCTGCGTGGCCATTCAACGTAAGTGACTGGAACGCTTAGCCAGTGTGAGGAAGGAGCTGGAAGTGTAGCTGCATTTCATTTGCTTTTAAAAGATTTGTTTATTTATTTGAAAGGCAGAGTTACAGAGAGGCAGAAAGAGAGAGAGAGAGGGAGAGAGAGAGAGAGAGGGAGAGATCTTCCATCCACCTGATTCACTCCCCAAATGGCCTCAACAGCCGGAGCTGAGCGGATCCAAAGCCAGGAGCCAGCAGCTTCTTCCAGGCCTCTCACCTGGGCTCAGGGACCCAAGGACTTGGGCCATCTTCCACTGCTTTCCTAGGCCATAGCAGAGAGCTGGATCGGAAGTGGAGCAGCCGGGACTCGAATACACGTCCATATGGGATGCCAGCACTGCAGGTGGCAGCTTTACCAGCTATGCCACAGCGCTGGCCCCCTGCATTTCATTTTAACTATTTTGAAATTAAATGTGAATGGCCACCTGTGGCTAGTGGCTCCCACACGGAACAGCGGAGAGGCAGGGGTTGTGACGTCGTGCGACCACGTGGTCTACACGGGTGCTGTCCGATGATGGAAGTTACTAGGTAACCGAGCACACTTCCCATTTTTCTTGTGACACGCAGCTCTCTGAGCCGTCTTTGGCTTCCCTATTTTTGAGAGATATCAGATAAACAATAGCCCTGGTTCTCAGGTGAGCACCAGCCTCAGGGCTGGGGAGACCACGGCCGAAATTGGGGTTCATCTTGCACAGATGAATAGAACGTCTCTGGGGTCAAATCCGGAGCCAAAGGCCATCAATTGCAGCCTCTAAGTCGTCTCTCTCTCCTTCTTAGACAAGAGGGCACTGAGGGTTGAAGGTCAACGTCGCTGGTAGGCACAGACCTTAATGCAGACATTTGTATTCTTGGCCAAGGTCAAATGTGTATATTTACTGTTTATTTATCTGTTTTCATCTCCTTGAAAGGCAGAACAACGGAGGGTGGGGAGAATCTTCCATCTGCTGGTTTACTCCCCCAAAAGCCTGCAACAGCCAAGGTAGGGCCAGGCCAATGCCAGGAGCCAGGAACTCCATCCTGGTCTGTCACATGGTGACAGGGACTAAGCACTTGGACTATCATCTGCTGCCTCCCAGGGTACATGAGCAGGAAGCTGGGACAGAAGTGGAGCAGCCAGGACTCGGACCAGCACTCTGATGGAAGATGCAGGCAGTTCCATCTGCAGCTTAACCCACTGCTCCACAATGCCTGCCTCCAAAGAGAAATATTAATAGCCGACAAGGACTGAGCACTGGAGCATTGCTCTTCTTAGTGGTCTCAAATATGGGAAAGACGGCAGCAGGCGAGTAGACTGGCGGCTACACATCGGGTGCCGTGGTTCCTTTCTCGGCTCTGACCCCTGCCTACAGCTTCCTGCAGCCGGAGGGCAGCAGGGATGGCTCAGGTGAGTGGGTTCCTGCCACCCATGTGGGAGACCCGATTGAGTTCCCAGCTCCTGGTTTTGGCTCTGGCCATTGTGGGCATTGAAGGAGTGAATGAACAGATACAAGATCTCTTTCTGTCTTTTTGTCTCTCTTTTCTCAGTGGGAAAGGTCATGTCCTGCCGTCCTACTGCGTGCCTGACTTTGTGTTAGGTGCTGGGATACCGGCCATGAATTAGCAGGATAAGGAGCGTGGCCAGCACTCAGGGTCCTGGACCCTCACCTAGCAAACCAAATGAAGCAAGAGATGGGAACTCCCTCCAGCCTTCCAGGGCCCTTCTACTGTGTCTTTGGGGGCAGGAGCCCTAGAATCACAACAGAAGCCAAAGGCAGTCCTGACTCGAGCACGACCCATCCGTGTGTGTCAGCCAAGTCCTTTCATCTCTATGAGCTCAGTCTCCTCATCCGGACACTGGGGTCGTACTCCTGCTTCACAATGGGAGTTGGAGGACACAACGTGAGACGGCCCAGTGTAGCAGGTGTGTCACGCGCGTGACCGGGAAGGAAGTTAGGACGGGACCGAGACGCATCTCTTCTGGAGAGGCTCCTCTCTCTCGGGGATCCCACTACGTGAATCCTCCTCTTATGCTGGGAGAAGCCCCTCCAGAGGAGGCTTGGGGGACGGAGCTCATTGCCCGTGAGAGCCACAGAGGCTCTCCTGCTCCCCTTGCAGAGGGCGGAGGCACAGGCATTGTCTGGAATAGGAACGGTGGTGCAGGAAACAGCAGACTGGCCCAGCCCCGCCTGCAGCCCTGGGTGGGTGGAGTGTGTGGCCACCGTGGGGACTTCTCACACGGATGAGGCTGGTGACTGCTGGCTGCCTTAGCTCCTGTCTCCTGTTCACTACAGGGGAGTCTATGTCTTTTCCGGCAGCATGTTCTTGTAAAAAGCCCCTTTCTGCTTAAATGAGCAGTCCATTTCTGGTGGTGAAAAGGAGAGTCCCAAGGGACACCCTCTGTGCGGGCAACCCCGCCCAGCACGTTTAGGAAGCGGGTCCGGGGGAGTGCTTGTTAGTTGACTGTTTATCACCCCGGGCCTCCTGGTGAAGAAGCCACAATTGCAAAGATACATTGCATTGCCAGGAGACAAGGAGACAATCGGTAATGAGCTGACCCCTTGTAAAATTAGTCTCTCTCCCCTGGTCACTAGTGACACCCATTTGTTGCGTCAAATATTCAGCATTAAAGTGTAGGCTGACTGCAAGCAGAGACAGTTGGTGCACCTACAGAGGCGAGATCTCCTAAAGCGGACCGACGCGGTACCGGAGGCCCCCCGGACGCCCACGCAGCGCCCCTCGCGCCCGCGCTGACCTGCGAGAAGAAGAAAAGAGAGTCAGGAGCCGCGTTCAATATTTGATGCTCAATAATTGATAGGCAAGTCCTTCACGTTTCAAAGATGAAAAACGGACTTGGAAAATGGACGCCGCCTCTGAGCGGTTTTGTCCAAATCACCCTCTTGATGTGCGCATGCGAAAAATCCATCAACAGGAAGATGGTCTGCAGCGCCATTAAACCATCCGGACTGAAAAATCACCCCGAAATCAATCCCGGAGTTTTTATTTACTCTCAGAATTAGCGCGATGGCCTTTACCGCCCCTGTTTCATGTCCTAGAACATAAAATGCAATCATTTTCATAACTCTGAGTCTCCGTTTTCGAGAAGGTTCCAAGCAAGCGTCCGCTGAGGACTGAGAAGTGCTAGTTTCCACCCCGAGCGGCATCACGGGGCCTGGTGCTCTCCCGGCATCCCCCGTGGACCGCGGCACCGGGCAATCTGGGCACTGGGTTCCACCTGACCTTTGCTGCACCTCCCCTCCCCCCTCCGCCGCCCGGCCAGCAAAGTCTGCCCTCCCCACTCCCTGCCCACGCTGACGTCTCCACGGCAGGCAGGAGCTGGGCCGGACAGCCGTAGCCCTGGGCCACCCAGGAATTCTGGTCACCGCGGCAGCTCTAATTACTTTTTCCTCTCGCCTCCTTCTTGGGCTCTTTGCATGCTGATGGTGCCGGGCGCGGTCTCCACTGGATTCCAGTGGTATTTTTTTAGCGTCCCAACCAGTGTGTCCGGTTGACTGAGACATTTCGGGGAAGAAGCAGGTGCATTTACTTTTCAAGTATTATTTTACTAATCAATTGAAAAATTACCTTCATGAATGACAGAAGTGCAGACCTTTGAGTATTTCATTAAAGGGAGCAAACATTAATTACGAATCCAGCCCAACCTTGCGCAGACATAAATTATGGGCCTGATCTATTTTCTCTGTGTTTAATTGCAAGCAGTGACTAGTTCTTTAAATTATGATCTGCTAGGCCTCCAATGAAAAGAGAATTTATGGAGCTGTACCCTGAGGCCTTGTGGGTGCCTTCACTGCTCTGTGGGGATAGATGGAGAAGGAGAAGGCCCCATCAGAGGCCCCCCGGGGTGGCACACGTGCTTCAGGGGATGGATGGAGAAGCGGATGTTTCCCATCCCTGGATTTTGAACTAGCTGACTGAGCTGGGGTCTCGGGAGTTGGCGTGGGTTCTGCTGAACTGTGTGAATTAGAGGCAGGTACCCTCACCTCAGCTCACTTTCTGCCATCAACCAGAAAGCCATCATGGTAGCACTGCCAATGTAGGATGATCTTGTAGTGCACGGCGCCCCCTGCAGTTGTGCAGTGCAACCTGCATGGCTGTACACGGAGGCCCTTGGGGGACGTCCATGAGTCAAACTGATGCTCTCCTTGTCTCTCTCACTCGCTATCTTTTGGATGATTTCTGTCTTGACTCTAGGCCCCATCATTGCTTCTAGTGGATGAAAATCCTTGAGAAGGTGCAAGTTCAGCCATAGGAGAAACCAGGGACTCCTGCCCAGGGAGGCTTCTGCTGAAAGCTCCTCATCTCCAGATTCGGCACCCTGGACAGTAACGAGTCAGGGCATTTCCAAGGGAGAGATACAGCCAGAGCCCGCAACAAGCCAGGCTGGGGAGCTGGCTATGGGTCCTGGGCTCTCTCCTTGCTAGGGGAGGAGATCTGGGCACAGTGAGTCACTCCTCCATGGACCTGGAGTGGGTACATTTTTGGTTCAACAAACAGCCCTGACAGGCATGAGCTCATTGACTGGGGAGTAGGCTCACAGCCCCTTCTCCCAGAAAGGGGCAGGGGGCAGTAAGCAGTCCCTGGCCATCCCCCCGCCCACCACCCCTGGCTCTGCCTGGGGTCACAAGACACCTTGGATTCTGCAGAGATGGCTCCAGACACCAGAATTGCAGACAGGGGCAGAGTGGGATCAGACACTGCTTCTAGCTTTTCTAGCTTGGCTAAGCCCGGGCCATGTGCAACTGGGTCCAGTGAGGCTTGACAGCTGATGGGAGAGACCGTGCTGATCCCTATGGGATTGCTGGGGCAGCAGTAAAACTTCTTTCCAAACCTAAATGCAATCATAGGTGAGCTCAGGCCCTGTCATCCTTTTTGTGCCTTTAAGGATTTGGTGTCCTTGACTTTTTTTTTTAAGCCCCTGGAGCAGCTGTTTCCATGATGTTTTTGCTCAGTTTTTTTGCAGGAACTCCCTGGCCTAAGACATTGACTCCAACAGTGACAGATCCAGGGTCAACTGGACAGGGCCCCAAAGTGCCAAACAGTGTGACAGGTGTCAAGACTGACAAACCCCATTCCCATGCAGGCCAAGGAATAACAAAGTTCAATTGATACTTCATGGAGCAGGTTAGCTCTTAGGAGATTCCAGCTTTTGTTCTATCGGTCTTGGTTGAAAACAGATGGGACATTTAAACTGAGTAACTAAGGGAGTGTAACACTGGAACCCTTTACCAAGGTTTGGTCAGGGTACAGGGAACCCACCTGGGCCAGAGAAACCCATGGGGCTGGGAACATCTGTTGGCCATCACCTCCTTGGCCTAGAACAGTACAGATGGGGTTTGTGGGGTGGAGGTGGTTGTTAGACTCTAGACAGAGGGTGGCATGGGGAGGGTTGTCTCCTAGTTGCCTTGGAGACTGTGCTGGGGTGTAGTCGGTCCATGACAACTCTGGACGCTGATCTACGAGTGCCTCCCGAAGCCAAAATGAAAGGGTCCCAGTTCTGAAAGTCACACATCCCCGTCTGTGGGGCCCAGAGCGGCAGAGGGGGAAGCAGGAGAGCAGATCTGAGCAGCAAACAGAGTGCATTCAGCACCCACCACTCAGCCTGGAGGTTCCACTGAGGCGCACATTAACATGGACACTGAGCTGTCAAGGGCCACTGCCGCCAGTCCTCCTTGGCAGCCACGCGTGCGCCCCTGCTTCAGTAAACCTCTTCCTCCCCAGGTATCACAGAGAAGTCTCAGGAGAGTGTCACGTGCACTCGCTATAGCCCCCCACGGCATGTGCCCACCGCTCCGGGCACCTCCGCTCATGACTGGGAACTCCCGGTACAGAACCTCGCGGTGGTCAGCAGAGAGGAGAGGGCCCAGGCCGCCCCCGCCCTGAGCTACTCCCACCTTAGTTGTTCAAAGTGATGACATGTTACAGCCTGGGCTGGGCCACCCTTTTCAGTTCTCACCTTCCACTCTCTGGCTCTCAGAACTCTGATGCTGGTCCCCACAGCTGTCCTGGGAGACATCAGGGACAAATCGCTTCCTGTGTCATAGTCAGGATCTTTAATCCTCCCCAGTACCCTACAGTGCAGGTTTTCTACCTTGAGCAAGCTGGTCATGCTCAGACCTCTTTCCCACAGTGTGCTTTTCCCAGAGACACTCTGCTGCTGCCCGTGGACTCACCACCAATTTTCCAGATCCGTCGGAATCCCAGCATGGTTGGGAACCATCGTGAAATCCTGGCCTTCGAGTTAGTCGATTCCATCGTGTCCCTGCTTGGACTTGGACAAGTCAGTTCTTCCTCCAAGACTCCGTTTCTGCATCTGCAAAATGGAGATAATAGTTTCTACCCCACTGGGTCACACAGAAGATAACGTATGCCCAGTGCCTAGCAAAGCTCTGTGCATGTCTGTGCTGTATTTGGCACACAATATGAAGCTTGTTAGGCGTTCACAGTTTTGGACAGTCTCTTTCAGAGACAGAAATCTAACTCAAGCTCTCTGTAACAGGGATATAGCAATCTTCAGGCTGTCGTGTGTTCCCGTGTTTGAGGAATTTTCCACCTTTGAAGGAAAGCTGTCCATTGCTGTCATGAAGAAATGCCATCTACTTACGTCCTCAGCCTCCTCTGCAGCCACAGGATGATCACATGATGTAGGCTCCAATAATAAGACTGAACTACCTGGACTTTCCGTCAGGCAAGGAGAAGCAGGGAATTTGCAGAACCCACTCTGCACACTACAGTGGCCACTAGGGCAGCTAAGCCCAGGTGCCAGGGTTAGTAGGAGCAGCTTGGTTTAGAAGTAGTACCAGGGCCTGGCACTGGGGACACCATGGGCAAGGTGAGATACGGGTGCCCAATGGCACCTTCAATGGTGTCCGCGCAGTCCCAGATCTGCAGCACGCACCTGGGCATTGTCTGGGCAGTGCAGCTCCCAGTCCTGGTTCTCCGTGGGCAGCTGCCATCTTTTCAGTACATCCCTTCTCAGCTCAAGGCAGCCAGAGTTGATTTCTGTGGATGACTAGAAACCCCGAGAGAAGCAAACACTAGGTGAACAAATGAAGATGATGGCAGCTGTTACTACAAAGAAATCACCATATTTTGGTGGCTTAACATAATGGAAGTTTATTTCTCATTCATTCCAGCCCAACTGACAGTGGGCATGGGAGAGACAGCACTTGTCTCCACGTAGTACCTTGGGGATGCTGCCTGGTGTCGTTTGCAACTTGTGGTTTCCAAGATTGTCCTGGGTATTTTGACATTTAGTCAGTAGATGGAAAAAGAGAGTGTGAAAGGTTGCATGGAAGGTTTTGGTGGAAGTAGTAGTCTTTCAAATTCTCCAACTTTATTGTTCAGAACTCAGCTGCATGGTACAACAGGATTATAAGGGACACTGGGAAACATCGCTTCCCAGCAAAAACTCTCCAGGTCGCTCATGGCTGTCTCTGCCATATGCATGAGCCACTTACAGGGAATTTCTAGCCTCGTACAACTGAGATGTATATTTAGCTGCATCCCATATATATGGGAAGGCATTTGGTCTAGTAGTTAAGACACCACTTGGGGATACCTCTACCCCATATTGGAGCGCTGGAGTTCAAGTCTTGGCTAAGCTCCCAATTCCAGCTTCCTGTTAGTGCACACCCTGAGAGGCAGCTAGTGCTTCACACACCATGGGCTCCTGGTACCATGTTCTGGTACCATGTTGATCCTGGCTTTAGCTGTTGTTGGCATGTGGGGAATGAACCAGATTAGAGTGTGTGCTCTCTCTCTCTCTTCTTCTCAAATATATATACTGAATTTTGATGGTATTTATATGTAGATAGATTACAGACATTGACTCAGTTTCTCCTCAGTTCTTGTTCCCTCTCTCCTGCCAGAAATTCCAAGATAACATTTTACCAGCTTAACAAAACCAGAAGAAATACAGTGCGTTTTTCCCAGTAGGTCCAGCCCAAATCCCAGGGCTGGCCCTGATTGGACCACCTTGAGTCACATGCCCTTCCTTAAACCAATCACTTTGGCCAGGGAGATGGAGTAAGCTGATTGGCCAGCCCTGAGACGTGTGCCTACCTTTCCCAGAAGCAAATGGACACAACCATTACATAAACCTCATGGGATGAGCGTGGGAAGACAGAGGGTAGTTCCCCGGAGAGAAATGTGGGTGCATTTATCAGAATAGAATATTATGAAAGCAGGGCGCAGGAGGGAGGAAGGGAGGAAGGAAAGGAATATCATGATATTCTTAGAATTGCAGCTACAAGTTATACTGGCTCTGTTAAAAACTAATTAAAAATAATATAAAAACATTAAAAAAAAAAAACAGAATGGTGAAAGCAATCAATGCTTACCAAACACACGTGGGCGTTTACTCTCGGCCGTGGCTTCTGGAGAAGCACTGACCGCATGGCAGGGCATTAATCAGTAAACACACCGGAGGTGGTTCTGATGCTGGACTTTCCCACATGCAGATCCACAGCTGCCTGCCTCTGGGCACTGGCGACACCATCTTCCTGTGACACTGTCACCTGCCCAGTGTCCTGTGTCTTGGCCTCCGTGCGAGCCCCCGATCACGGTTCCCCTTCCGTGAGGCTGAGGGCGGGTGTGGACCAGACGCTCTGGGGTCCCCGCGGCGCGGCTGGTGCACCGCGGGCCTGCAGGAGGTGGCCTTGCTGCTGGGCCTCCGTCAGATCTAGCAAACCCAACCCGGGTCTTAGCACGAACAAGAAAACTGAATGAACTCTGCGTTGGGGCTGGGGATTCTTGCTAATCCTTCCTTTATTTTTGTAGAATAATTCAATTCAGCCATTCAATTCTACAAATATATATTGAATGCCTATCAGAGTCGGGATAAAGCGAGCATTTGGAGAATTACTTTTATGTTTGCAAAAATCTGTTCCCTGCTAATATCCTGTGTGGGCTGCCCAGGTGGGGACGGAGCCAGGCGAGGGGAAGCCTCCGTTCTACACGTGGGGCCTGCTCTGTGCAACGTTAAATGCCCTGGTGCAGCCTCTCGTGTGCTTCTCTTCGTCATGTTTATAATTTTACAGTTGTCTGGGTGATGATTTGATGCGTGCTGGTCTTTCCCGCTGTGGTGTTGGCTCGGGCCGAGGGCGACGGCGGCTGCTTTGGCCTCTCACATGGCAGTTCCATAACAAATGGTTGCTGAATGAAGGACTGCATGATGGAGGGCAGGAGGAGGAGAGGGAAGAAGGAAGAGTGAGTGGGGGGAAGGGGAGGAAGGAAGGAGGTGGGGGAGGGAGAGGGGAAGGGAGGGAGGGGGGAGTAACCAAGAGGCAGGTGGAAGATTTGCTTCTAACTCTCTGCCACTGGGGAAGCCATCAAAGTAAAACTGAGTTCCCAGGAAGCTTTGTCGGGATGGTGCCTGGCGCTGGCCAACAGCAGAGCAGCCCTGGCCACACCCCGGGGCAGACAGCCACTGGGACCCATTTGTCTGCACTGCTGACAAGCTCCTGGGCGATGCTACGGCGGCCTGCTGCCCCTGGACGTTTGCAACTCCCAAGCAAGGCAACCTCCCAGGACCTGATGCCCACAACAGTCCACGGGAGCATCTCCCCTCTCCAGCTCCCCCCCTACCCCCAGCCAAGCCGGCTCTGTGCCCTGTCGAGTTGGTACCCACGAGACTGGCTCTGGGAACCCCCAGCGCCTCATTCCACTCCAGCAGGCAGCAGGTAATTTGTGAATTTCATTCTCACTTCCCTATGGTTTATGTCTTTCTCTGGGCTTTTTTGGGGGCATGCTCTTGAATCTCACCTTTGCATCATGGACTTCTCATGCTGTGCAAATTACTAGGGTGTGTGCCCCTGCCTCCCTCACCCAGAGCGGCACGCTGTAATCAGGGCGCAGAGCAGAGCGCCCCAGCTGCCTCTCCTGGGGCAAGACATTGAAGCCATGCCTGGGGGCTGCGAATGATGACAGTGAGTGCACAGGGCAGCGTTGGCTGAGCCCGTGGTCTTCCACCTCGGACAGACAAGCAGCCTGGGAGGGACGGACAGAGCGCGACGATGACGTAATAACCACCCCTTAAAAGCACAGGGTCTCCTGCCATACACCTTCGGTGATGGAGTGAGCAGTGGAAAGAGCCCTGTGCTGGGTGTCTCCCACGTTTTAAGCCTCAGTTTGCCCACTTTTTTTTTTTTTTTGACAGGCAGAGTGGACAGTGAGAGAGAGAGACAGAGAGAAAAGTCTTCCTTTGCCGTTGGTTCACCCTCCAATGGCCGCTGCAGCCGGCACACCGCGCTGATCCAATGGCAGAAGCCAAGTACTTATCCTGGTCTCCTCCGATGGGGTGCAGGGCCCAAGCACTTGGGCCATCCTCCACTGCACTCCCTGGCCACAGCAGAGAGCTGGCCTGGAAGAGGGGCAACCAGGACAGAATCCGGCGCCCCGACCGGGACTAGAACCCGGTGTGCCAGCGCTACAAGGCGGAGGATTAGCCTAGTGAGCCGTGGTGCTGGCCTCCAGTTTGCCCACTTACAAAATGGATCAGACCCTTTGATGTGCCTACGCTGTGGAACGTATGGGACGCAGGAGAAATTGGGTTCATGTGATGGAGCCATCTGAGTGGTATTCATGCTCCCCAAATGAGGGTGTGTCACCATGGGCCACCACCCAGAGCTCGCAGCTTGGCTCCAGGCACAGTTCCACAGGCACGTGTTAATTTCAGCCCAGTGAGGCGTGCACCCTCCAAGGAGAGGCCCTTCCATTGCTCTTCTGTGTTCCCCCTCATTTGTTGCATTGAGGGGTCTTCATGGAACATCCATAGGATGCAAAAACTACGTGTGGATTTCAAAATTGTTTCGCACCCAAATAAGCGTGCCTTTGCATTTCAGTTTTTCACAAACTTTTCTGAGACACCCCTGGGTATCAGGCGACCCTGACAAGGTGACAGAGGACACGGTCCCTGCCCCGCCACACGGAAGGGGTCCCACTGGCTGCGTATCCTCCCCGCAGGAGTGACCCCCGCTCCAAAGTCCCTCATCCCTCTCTCGGGACCCATGGAATGGGCCTGTGCACTCAAGGAAAATTGACTTTGGATCGTGTTCCTACGACACCAATCGTTCTCAGAACTCCAGGGAAAAAACAGAACGTAGTTAATGTTAAATGCAGAGATTGGGCAACCTCCCCCGCCCCCTTTTCTTCTGTATGGTTTGTGCTGATGTGGCCTTGACTGGGGCCTGTTTTGTTTATGATTAATGAATGACTCACCTTGAGCTGCTGCTTTCTGTTTATCCCATGCTCGTTATGAATTTGAAGAGGTCACGGCGCACTTGGCACCCAAAGGGAATGCTCAGGAATTTGGGGGAAAAAAAATTGTTGCTCACGCAGAAGCTTTCCAGCGGTACACGGATAGCAGGAGAACACCTGCCTCGTCCACAGGTTTCCAAAACAGCATCTCTGAGTTTGCCATCATCCCAAACCCGTGAGTAGCCTGGGCATCTTGTATGTGCCAGGGGCTGTGGTGTCCTTGCAGAAGGAGCGAGGGAAGGGAACACCATTGCTCTCCACATTGTAGCCGTGTCCTTGGTCTGCCTGGGCTTCTCCACTTTCTTTTTGAGCTTGGCAAGCTTCTTCCCCGCTGTGGCCTCAGTTTTTCTGTCTGTATAATGGCATTTCTCTATGGTTTTTTTGAGATCTCCTGTGTCCAGATGTCCAGAGCTGAAAGAATAAAGCAAAGATGGTGGCCCAGGCATGGGTGGACACAGCTGGGCTCTCCTGCTGGTGTTGCTGATCCCTTACCACGTGGCCTTGCGTGGGCCTCCTCTCCTGCCAGAAGTCAGAGCTCCCGGCAGGACCGTCGGGGACCTGGAGCTGATGGGCGTGGGTTTGTGGCTGGCCTGTCGGGTGTTTTATATGTGGTGCAGCGTTAAAGGCAATGACGAGCGAATACATCCGCTCTCCAGGGGGGTCCACGGACCACTTCCTGATGACACGCACCTTCTCCAGTCCCCCACACTGCTTGCCTGCCCCATCCTGAGCCTGTGATCTTGGCTAAACCATCTCATTGTGCACCCCCCCCCCGTCATTCTGTGGTTCTAGAAAGGGCTAGAAAGTGGGTGTTGGCTCTGGCAGTGCCTTGTCCACTAGAACAAGGGACTGGATCCCCAGCTGAGGGTCCCCAAGCCCGGTGGGCACCTCCGCAGCTGTCCGCCTGGCTGTGATCACTGACCCACCACAGCCCAGGGCAGGCAGCAGCCTTGCCCACCTCCTGCCACCTGCTCCGAAGGAATGCGAAGCCCGGGGGGCGTGGAAAAACCCGAGTTCATGATGGATGGCGTGCAGTCAGCCCTGCGCTTCCCCCATGGACCTGCAGCCTGGCAGAGGGAGGGCACAGGGGTCCCAGAGCCCAACCAGGTATGTGGTGGGGCTGGAAGAAAGAAGTTTCCAGAAGCGGCATCAGAACATCGCCCTTCCACCTCACCCCAGAGCCCACGGGCTCTTCAGTCTTATGTAGGCCTCAGGACTTCCCCACCCCCACCCCCCACTACCACTCCCCGGGCTATAGGAAGAACTTGAAGGTGACACACTCGTTTGTTCCTCTAACAGTCGGATTTGTTCCTCTAACAGTCGGAGTCAAATGCCAGGGTGGGAGCAGCTTTGAGGATTCCTTATTCTTGGGGATTTATCACACCTTTCGGAGCTCAGAGACAGCCCCAGCTAGCTTGTGAAGCACCTGCTATGTGCCAGGCAGGTGCGAGACCCGCGGGCTCTGAAGGTCTCCCCTTGCAGGATGCTAAGACATCCCGGACACAAAGCACGCCCACCTGTAGTTGTTACTGAGGGCGTGATCTTTTGTGATGCCAGGGAGTGGTCGTCTCTGTTCGAGTGAGGTTTCAGAGGACAGAAAGCTCCAGCTTCCGGGTGGACCAAGGCTGTGGCATTGGAGGGCCAGGGTCCCGGAGCCGAGGCCCAGAGGCAGCCTGGTGCCGAGCTGTTGCCTGGAGAAGTGAGGAGGTCGGCTGGGCTGGAGCCCAGGGCATCTGGAACGGCTGCCAGGAGGCTGCTGAAAGGTGATCTGAGGCCGCGAGGACCTGAGTCAGAATCTGCTGCGCTGACACTACGCAGCCCTGTCCCGACGTGCCTCGCATACCTCCTCCCATTTGACCTCCGAGGCAATGCGGTAGGGTTAGGAGCTGGATCAGCTGCCCTGTGGGGCGAGGTTCCCAGGAACCCCATGGCCTATCCTGCCTGGAGCCAGGCCTGCCTGCACCTGTGTTAGGTTCCCAGGGCTGCTGGCCCCGGGCGGGGCGGGGCAGGGCGGGGCAGGCGGAGGGTGGCTTAACATGACCATTCTCTGTGGTTAGAGAAGTCCAAAGTCAAGGTGATGGCAGGGCCAGGCTCCCTCTGAAGGCACCAAGGGAGAGTCCGTCCTTCCTTGCCTCGTCCAGCTTCACCTAGATCCTGGCCACCTTGGCGTTCCTTGGCTTGCACCTACCTTGCTCCAGTCTCTGCCTCTGTCCCCACGTGGCCTGCTTCCCTGTGTGTCTGTCTGTCTCTGGGTGGGGGGTGTCTTCTCCTCTTCTTACTCCAGTATGACCTCCTCTCGACCATGGCGGGGTCTCCTTATTTGTTGATTCTGTGTTTACTGTTTACCTCCTCACTAGAATTCATTTGCAAGCCCCAGATCAATGCACACGGCCATGCACAGATACACACACACAGCAGCAAAAATCTGCGTGATCCAACGTGCTCACTTCCAGCTGAGGTCAGGCCAGGTGACCCCACGCCTTCTCAGGGCAGCTCCCATAAACATGTCAGCTTTGCGGCTGATTTAGCGCCACGTGTTTCTGCAGGGCTGCGCTTTTTGTGGGTGCTTTTGCTGTTTGAAGCAGCCTCAAGGCTGACATCCTGTTGTGTTCCTATGGGCGAGGTGGCCGGGCTGGGCCTTAGGGAGAAATTCGTGTGCTCAATGAGCCTTATTCAGGCACCAGTCCCAGTGCCGATGGCTGTGAGTACAGTGTGAACGGATCAACGCTGTATTAAATAACAGGTCTTCATGACGGAACACACGCCAAACACATACACAAAAGTGCATGTGACTTGCTGATGAAAATGTGGAGGCCCAGGGGAACTTGGCCTTCCAGCTCCCCCTTGGGAGTGCAGGTCAGAACTCTCTGCATTAGTGTTTGTCCTGACTTTATTGAACTTCACCGCCATGAATTGGAAACACTGACTAAAACTGCATTTCCAGAGACCCTGTTTCAGGATCAGTTACATTCTGAGGTTCCAAGGGGGCCTGGATTTTGCAGGTACCTTACCCAACCCAGTACAGATCCTAAACTTAGGCTCTCTTTTTCTCACATCAGTGATTTTCCAAATTGGCCCACCATCCAATTCTTCCTGGGGAACTTGGGAAAAGTGTTGAGTTTTAGATTGCCCTGTCAAAGGTTGTAATTCAAATAATCTAGACCAGGCTCCAGGAATCTGCATTTTTACAAACTCTGGGTCAACCCGGGGACCCCTGAATGTCACTTATTTCTCTCTAGGCTTCAACTCAGCTTCCTTTCCTGGGAGAAAAGGACATGGATACACGTCCTGATTGGATCCCACATCAGCCATAAATGGCACACAATCATGACCTTGAACTTGATCACAAGCCATCTAAGCTGGTCCTACTCCCCCAGGAGAGTTCATTGGGCATTTATGGCAGACTGGGTCCCTCCACAGGCACTGTAGGCTGAGCTGACTTCCTCCAAGGAGTCTTGGGTGTTGACCGTGGGTAACGCAGCAGTAGGTGCTCCAGCTCCATACCAGAGACCAGAGTACCAGCGTCAACTGGACAAGGCCCTCCCATGCATTTCTGTCACACAAGCTCTGTGATAGCAGCTGTCTGAGCCAGTCCAGTTGCCTTGGGACATCGATGAGCTTGCAATAAAGTGGTAGCAGCAATAGCAAAATATTAAATATCTATACCTTCAAATTCCTGTATTTCCCCCAGCGTGTTGTGCTTTCACTTCTTGTCTCGTTCGGTTCTCTTAAGAACCCACGAAATAGGCAAGATGGTGCCTGCTTATCTGGATACCATCTGGTTCCAAAATTTGGATTAACTTCTGGAAACTACTAACGACAATAGTAGTAATACCAATAACCTCTAGAGAAATGGAAGGAGGTTACAACTCATTCAGGAGTGTCCTTCCTGGCTGAGAAAGTTTTGACTCCCATTTTACACCTGATCTTAACAAGAATTGAGTTCATTTTGGAAGTAACTAGAAGGTGTTCCTTGGAGATGCGTTGGTATTAGGTGCGAGTTCTCCAGTGACAACACAAGAAAGGGGATCTGATGATAAGAGAGAATTCTGATTGCGATTCAAAAAGAGGGCATGAGGCAGGCATTAAGGGTATCCACTTGCACTCTTTCTGGTGAGCACGAGGACTTCTCTGTCCAGTCCTTCCTGGTGCTGACGAGAAGTATGGAATTCAGTGTAGTCTGGGGACTTACGTGGCTCGAATCCCAACCCTTACCAGCCCCATGATTTTGGAGACATTTGTCAACCTCAGCAGAACCTCTAGCCCTCCACCTGTACACTGGGATAACGTCTTCCACGAGGCAGAGCTGGATGATTGTGGAGAATGACGGGTGTCAAGGATCTATGCCAGGGCCTGGTACTAGCCTCCTGCAGTAACATGCTCCATTGTGTGGCATTTTACAGCTTCCTAAGTACTTCCATACGTGATTTCTCATTTGCTCCCTGTGGTAACCTTTTATCCACCCATCCACCCATCTACCCACTCATCCACCCACCCATCCATCCATCCATCCATCCATCAAGTGACTGGCAGGAGCTAGTTTTGCAGTAGTGCACAAAACATTAAAAACGTTCCCACCCATAGAGCTTTAGTGACTGGAGGGAGAGACAGACCACAGACAGGTGAGGAAGCAATCAAAGAGCTGTGTCTAAAATGCAAATTGTGTGACAGAAATGAATGGAATACTGAGAGAGAGAGAGAGAGAGAGAGAGAGAGAGAGAGAGAGAGATTGAGAATAACGGAGAGCCCTGGGGAGAGTGCTCAGTCTGCCTTAGTGAGGAGATTACATTTAAGCTGCATCTTAAAAGGGGCAGCATGGGAGGCACAGGAGAAGGGCATTAATTTAGTCCAAGAGAGCACACCCCGAGATACCCTTTTAGAGGTGCAGCTACTCTGTGAGGTTGGTTTTCCTTGTGTGTATCTGAATAACTCAGGGGGCTAAATGTGAACTCAGGGTCCCAGGCCAGGAGACAGATCACTCAGTATTTGAGCTGTGGCCACTGTCCACTGGATGGGTCACTGCCCAGGGGTCTGTACTGCCTCTTATAGCTTCGAAGAGCCTTAGGCTACACTGAAAGAGATTTCTGTTACTTTGGCCCGAAAAAGAATT